CAAAATTTCTGGCTCCGAAGTGTCTTTTATACAGGTAACGTGCTGAGATTAGGGGCACTCTCTTAAAAGGAGTGCTCCTAATCTCAGCACGTTACCTCTGTAAAAGACACCTGTTCACATAAGCAATCAATCAAGCAGATTCCAAACCATGGCCAAGACCAAAGAGCTGTCCAAGGATGTCAGGAACAAGATTGTAGACCTACACAAGGCATGAATGGGCTTCAAGACTATCGCCAAGCAGCTTGGTGTGATTATTTGCACATGGAAGGAACACAAAATAACTGTCAGTCTCCCTCGGTCTGGTTCTCCATGCAAGATCTCACATCGTGGAGTTTCAATGATCATGAGAACAGTGAGGAATCAGCCCAGAACTACACAGGAGGAGGATCTTGTTAATGATCTCAATGCAGCTGAGACTATAGTCCCCAAGAAAACAATTGGTAACACACTACTCCGCGAAGGACTGAAATCCAGCAGCGCCCACAAGTTCCCCCTGCTCAAGAAAGCGCATGTACAGGTCTGAAGTTTGCCAATGAACATCTGAATTATTCAGAAGAGAACTGGATGAAAGTGTTGTGGTCAGAGGAGACCAAAATCAAGCTCTTTGGTCTCACCTCACCATGTTTGGAGGAGGAGGGATGCTGCCTCTGACCCCAAGAACACCATCCCCACCACCAAACATGGAAGTGGAAACATTATGCTTTGGGGGTGTTTTTCTGCTAAGGGGACAGGACACCGCATCAAAGGGACGATGGACGGGGTCATGTACAGTCAAATCTTGGATGAGAACCTCCTTCCCTCAGCCAGGGCATTGAAAATGGGTCGTGGATGGGTATTCCAGCATGACAATGACCCAAAACACACAGCCAAGGCAACAAAGGAGTGGCTCAAGAAGAAGCACATTAAGGTCCTGGAGTGGTCTAGCCAGTCTCCAGACCTTAATCCCGTAGAAAATCTGTGGAGGGAGCTGAAGGTTCGAGTTGCCAAACATCATCGTCGAAACCTTAATGACTTGGAGAGGATCTGCAAAGAGGAGTGGAACAAAATGCCTCCTGAGATGTGTGCAAACTTGGCCAACTACAAGAAACGTCTGACCTCTGCACGTCTGTGACTGCCAACAAGGGTTTTGCCACCAAGTACTAAGGGGTTGAAGGGGTCAAATTCTTATTTCACTCATTGACATGCAAATCAATTTATAACTTATTTGACATGCTTTTTTCTGGATTTTCTTTTTGTTATTCTGTCTGTCACTATTAAAATTACATTTATAAAAAAAATTTGCAACAGCTCTTCATAAACTTAACTGAAGCCATAAAAAATTATTTTTAAAGGGATGGAATTTTACGGAAGAGTACAGCAGCTGCTTTATTAAAAGTCTGTATTTATTTTTTATTTACAAGCATGAATTCATGTCATCTCTTTTCTATTCCTTTTAGTCTGGAACATGCCCCGTATGCCGCCACGTCCTAGCCTCCCTGCTTCCTGAAGCTGCGGCCACATCGTTTCTCTCTGGTCACGAAAGCCCCCCTTCGATTCACAGCGCGGCAGGAACACGATAGAATAACATAAAACCTTCCTAAACTTTACTAAAAACCTACAGTTTGTTTTCTTTTCAAAATGTATCATGTAAAATGAGATGATTCTGCATACACGAAATATAAATAAAATATATATATATACATACAGTATGTTATATAGTAGCATAGAGAGACTCAAACACTTGTAAGCAATTCTTTGTTTGCAGCGCTAGTTGCAACTTGAAACCAGTGCTAATTAATAGCATAGAATTATTGCAAACTAATACATTTTGAATGTCCTGTATCCTAAACTCGAGTAACGGTTCTGCTTGCCTTTTTGTTTTTTCATGTGGCACATGTTTGTTTTCCTGTAACTGCAGTGCAGTTAGAGCTTTAAACCCCAGTGCTAAATATTTTTTATTTGAGTTTAATACCTTTTTTTTTTTTTTTTTTTCTTAAGCTGTTGAAACCTAATGCAAAGCATTAAGTTTCTGCACCTTCCTGTAGTGAAAAGGCTGATTGTGCCACTGTGTTTTGTAATTGATCTCTCATGTTTGCATCAAATGTGACGACATTCTGTGACCATAACAATAGTATAACCAATTGGTTCCGTTATTACAATAAAATGCATATTGAAACAAGGTTTGCTTTGGGTCTAAAAACAACAGGAGCCAAAAGTCAGTTTACCACCACAGTCTCCTGTGAGAAAGTTCTCCGTATATTGAGTAAGGTGTGTATGTATGTGGCTGAGATGCATAGTTTATGGTGTGATTAATAAATCAATATGAGGGCTTTCAAAGAGCCCGTAGCAATCCTATAAAAAGCTCAACATTTTAGGTGAGGTGACAAAGCTGCTTTAAGCACTATATAGTGAATTGGAGTTAAAAAGAAAAGTAATGCCAAATTAACTATTGTCACAGCTTGGTATTTGAACCGAAATGTAGCAATTTGGGTTTCAAGTCATGTACCTGGGCTCTATAGATATCCGACAAGGGAAGGCTAGAATACAGACTATGGAAGAACCGCGCTATTTTTTATAATTTGATCATGTTAGGCTACCATTTTTAATCCTAATCAATTCTGTGCTGTTACTGGTTCAGTTAATAAATCCAACAGTTTCTTTACTACTAGATTTCCTCATGGTTCTGGCCTTATTTTTCTCTTAAAGGAGCTCTTCCAATTATTTATAAAGTTCATTGAAATTATGAAGCAGTATTTTTAAGCACTTTCTTAACTTTCACAAAGGTTTAACCTTAAAATATGACTTCCTTCCACCTGGTTGCTCAAGTAAGAGGGTGGTATTGTTATTTTGACGCTCTCAGCCTATCACCTGGCACCCATTGAGAAACGTAGCTCAAGGAATTTGTATAGTATGACAGTGGGTAGAAATATTCCTTATATAATGGTTTCTTGATATAGCAATCTAGAATTTCAGGGAAAATAGTGCATGGGAACAGATCAGTGTCTAAGAGGACATTTAAGGTCTATGCGCCAGTGTTAAATTGGGAAAAGAAACCTACATGGGTTACACAAAGGAGCAACAAGGATAACAAGACTACCAGCAAGTAAACAAATTAAAAAAGAAAAACTGGTTATAAATAATTATAGTCAAACCAGGGTAAAATCTTGTGTAACAAAGTATATACTTTATAGTAAGCATGCAGTCAAAGATGTTCTGAGTACATACAATATGCAAATAAACCTTTTCTGGTAGTTAATTGGAACAATCAATGTGAAATAAATGCTCAGTCAGGGCTACAATAACACATTCATGTAGTAAAATAATGTCAAAGGACTAAAGAGATCTCAAAAATAGATTGGGGCAAAATACTGATGTTTCCTTATGGTGATAGCGGTGTATCTTCTGGGAACATTAAAGTCCATAACTCCTTCCTTTGTGCCATTGTGGTGGTGAACATATCAACATAGATAACGGATGATAAAGATTAGGGAAGGTTTGAACCTTTCATGCGCACCGCTTCATGTTGTCTAATTATACCTGTTGGACATCTGTTCTTAGAAAGCTGGGAGTATTGCACTAAAAACCAAGGTGATGTAAAAAGCTAAGTCATCCGAGGTGACTGAATTTGGTGTGTCTCAAATCCTTAAATTGGTTCTCCTTGCCTTATCTATTTCTGCTGACTTCAGAAAAATGTGCAAATATTCAGTGTCCATTGAAGTAAAGCAGTCTATGAACTTGTTATGAGCAACATAAAGTTGTCTGTGCGGCATTCACAATGGGACATGCATATACATAAATCCTTAAGCTCCTTATGTATATCAGCCAGAATGGAAACGAAGATTTACATAAACTTTTGCACTTTCCACTTAGTTGCGAGAATATTGTTAGAAAGTTGGGTGAAAATATCTGACCAGGAGGCCATGTCAGAGGTGACAGGACCTTCTTTTATCTGCCATCTCTGTGCTTTTGAGCCATGGCCTTTTTCTTTTTTTTTTTTTTGTGATTTTGAAAGCTATCGATCTCCAGGAAGCTTATAAGAATTCTGTAGTGACATTCTGATACACCCCACTTCAAGTATATTGTATGTTTGCCCTTCACAGCTCTAAAAGAAATTAAAATTGTCATTTATTTATAAAATATTTTACCAGGAAGGATACATTGAGATTTCTCTCATTTTCAAGTATGTCCTGGGTGATAAAGAAATATAGGCTATTAAGCTATAGTTGAGGAACATCCTGTACTCCCACAGGGCTGTAAGTAAATCTGAAATATTTTGAAGAACAAAGATTGATGTTATTTTTCTATGCCTTTATTCCCTGTGACCGATTGTTACTTATCCCAAACTCACATTTATCTGACTCATTTTCCTGGATGCACATGTCACACAATGACCGTTCTTGTCTATGCTATAACCTATTCTCTAATTCTGTGACCTGGAATTGTTAGAATTTTATATATGTATACGTAAAGCATAATCCAATTCTTTATTGCTATTGTCTGCGGAAACCTGTATTGCCATTTTCATTTAAATGAAACTGAAATTGCCCTGATGCCTCTCATCTGCTCTCTGTAACCTCCTCCTTTGGACTCACACAGATTTCTTCCTCAGCAACTCACACTGCAGGAAACACTCTTGACCTCATCTTCACCAATCTCTGTACTACCTCTGATCTCGCCACTGCTCCATTTCCTTTGTCTGACCACCATCTGCTAACATTTAACATCTGCATACCCCATACCAAAATCTCACCACCATCCACTCTCCAACCTCGCAGAAACCTCAACTCTCTCGATCTCCAGCACTTCTCCACTAAACTCCAAACACTCCTTTTACCCATCTCAAATCACAACTGCCCTAACTCTGCAACCTCACTCTACAACTCCACTCTCTCCTCTCAACTTGACATCATAGCACCTCCTACAGTTAAACGCAGCAAGCGCCCCCAACTACAACCCTGGCACACCAAGCTGACCCGTTACCTCCAAAAATGTTCCAGAATTGCTGAACGCTGCTGGAGAAAGTCTCACTTTGCATCTGACTTTGTCCACTATAAATTTATGCTGCGCTCCTACAGCATGGCTCTTTCCTCTGCAAAAGTAAGCTACTTCAACACCCTCATAAGCACACTGTCCCACCAACCCAAACACCTGTTTCACACTTTTGATGCACTTCTTCGCCCTGTGACTCCCCCTCCTTCCACCACCTTGTCCGCCACAAACTTTGCTTCTCATTTCACTGAGATCTCTACAATCAGGAAAGAGATCTCTAATCTTTCTCCAACCAGTATCAATACATCACCCAACCCCACTCCCCCTGTCATCCTAAACTCATTTGCACCTGCTACAGCACAAGAGGTTTCTGCTCTGCTCCTGTCCTCCCGCCCCACCACCTGCTCCCTCGATCCTATTCCCTCGCATCTCATCCGCACTTTGTCTCCCTCTCTTGCTCTTCCTCTCGCTAACATTTTCAATCGCTCCCTTTCCTCTGGCACATTTCCCTCTGCCTTCAAACATGCAACCGTAACCCCAATTCTGGAAAAGCCCAACCTCGATCCCAACTCCCCATCCAACTACCGCCCTATCTCGCTACTGCCATTTGCCTCCAAGATCCTCGAGAGAGTTGTCTACGCCAGATTGACAGACTTTCTTGAATCCAACTCTCTGCTTGACCCCCTTCAGTCTGGATTCCGCGCTGGTCACTCTGTCCAAACTGCTGTGACCAAAGTATCCAACGATTTAATTGCTGCTAAATCTCGCGGCCAATACTCTATCCTAATCCTCCTTGATCTTTCTGCCGCCTTTGACACTGTTGATCATCAACAGCTTCTTCACATTCTCCGTAACTTTGGTCTACGGGATTCTGCTCTCCTGGTGCTCCTTCTACCTCTCCCAGCACTCCTTCAGTCTTTCTTTCTCTGGCTCTGCCTCTTCTTCCCAACCCCTCCCTGTCGGCGTCCCCCAAGGTTCTGTCCTCGGCCCCCTACTGTTCTCTATCTATACTGCCTCCCTTGGTAAACTCATCAGCTCTTTTGGCATCCAATATCATTTATATGCAGATGACACACAAATCTACCTGTCCTCCCCTGATCTCTCTACGCCCACCTTGACTCGTGTTTCTGACTGCCTCTCTGCTATTTCCAACTGGATGCTATTTCCTTAAACTCAACCTGTCCAAAACAGAACTTCTAGTTTTTCCTCCCTCAAGTGCTGCTACTCCTGTGTCTGTCGCCATCCAAGTCAACGGCGCTACTATCACCTCTACCTCCCAGGCTCGCTGCCTAGGGGTTCTTTTTGATTCTGATCTCTCTTTTACTCCCCATGTTCAATCGATAGCCAAATCCTGTCGCTTCCAACTCAAGAACATAGCGCGCATCCGCCCATATCTAACGCCGGACGCGGCTAAGGTACTGGTTCATGCTGTTGTTCTCTCTCGCCTTGACTATTGCAATCCCCTTCTCACCGGTCTTACATGTTCCCAGCTTGCACCGCTGCAATCTATAATGAATACGGCTGAGAGGCTTATTTTCCTGTCCGGTCGCACCTCCCACGCCTCCACGCTCTGTCAGTCCCTGCATTGGCTTCCAGTTAGATATAGGGCCCAATTCAAAATTCTGGCGCTTGCTTACAAATCCCTACATATTTGCTGCTCCAACATACCTATCCTCCCTCATACACAAGTATGTCCTGACGAGACCCCTGCGCTCAGCCCAAGACCTACTCCTATCCTCTGCCCGGATCCCCACCTCTGATGCTCGCCTTCAAGACTTCTCCAGGGCTGCACCTATTCTGTGGAACTCCCTTCCCTCCTCAATCAGACTTTCACCCAGCCTCCATTCCTTCAAAAATCTTTGAAAACTCACTTCTTTATTAAAGCGTATCAATTAAACTGTCAGCAGGTTTCTCATCCCCCACCCCATGACTCCGTTCCTTCACCTGTCAAAAATGACCTACCAAGCACTCAATAAACCCTTCTGTAACAAACTATTTAATTCCCCTACTTTAACCCTTTGTGTCACTATACCCCACTCCCTCTAGCATGTAAGCTCATCGAGCAGGGCCCTCAACCCCCTCTGTTCCTGTACGTCAGTGGTCTGATCTCAATTATGTGTCTGTTAGTCCACCCATTGTACAGCGCTATGGAATTTGTTGGCGCTATATAAATAATAAAATAATAATAATAATAAGCAATGTTCACTGGTGATAGGATTGTAGTACTGCACATTAAAAGGTTCAATAAATAGGAATGCTGAATTAATACATTTATAAAAGCTAATAATGGAAGCCCCTTACTTGGGCAGTGTGGAGCTCTGTTCTTTAATTTTTTTCCTCGAGGGATCAATAAAAATTTATTATTTTTCTTTGTTATGTTCCATACTGGCAACTAGTTACCTTACTCTAGCGGAACAGCCTCCTCTATGGGTATAGGGACTGATATTTGGGAGGACCATTTAGGTTGATGTTCCAGGAGGGATAAGCCAAATGACAAATGATTTAGGTAAACTAGAAAAATGGTCAGAATTGTGGCAACTGACATTTAATGTGGATAAGTGCAAGATAATGCATCTTGGGCGTAAAAACCCAAGGGCAGAGTACAGAATATTTGATAGAGTCTAACCTCAACATATGAGGAAAGGGATTTAGGGGTGATTATTTCTGATGACTTAAAGGTAGGCAGACAATGTAATAGAGCAGCAGGAAATGCTAGCAGAATGCTTGGTTGTATAGGGAGAGGTATTAGCAGTAGAAAGAGGGAAGTGCTCATGCCATTGTACAGAACACTGGTGAGACCTCACTTGGAGTATTGTACACAGTACTGGAGACCGTATCTTCAGAAGGATATTGATACCTTAGAGAGGGTTCAGAGAAGGGCTACTAAACTGGTTCATGGATTGCGGGATAAAACTTACCAGGAAAGGTTAAAGGATCTTAACATGTATAGCTTGGAGGAAAGACGAGACAGGGGGGATATGATAGAAACATTTAAATATATAAAGGGAATCAACACAGTAAAGGAGGAGACTATATTTAAAAGAAGAAAAACTATCACAACAAGAGGACATAGTCTTAAATTAGAGGGACAAAGGTTTAAAAATAATATCAGGAAGTATTACTTTACTGAGAGGGTAGTGGATGCATGGAATAGCCTTCCAGCTGAAGTGGTAGAGGTTAACACAGTAAAAGGAGTTTAAGCATGCGTGGGATAGGCATAAGGCTATCCTAACTATAAGATAAGGCTAGGGACTAATGAAAGTATTTAGAAAATTGGGCAGACTAGATGGGCCGAATGGTTCTTATCTGCCGTCACATTCTATGTTTCTATGTTTCTATGAATCCCATTCCAGTTTCTCTCTTTTTCTGTAATAATGGAAGCCCCTTACTTGGCAGTGTGGAGCTATGTTCTCTGAAATTAAAGGCTGATTTTGATGAAATAGATACATATTATCATGCAACTCTACTCCCAAAGAGCTGTGCTGAAAACTGGCCTAGACCCTGATATCCAGACATAATTACTAGTGTAGGACCCGGGAAGATTCATCAACAACCCTATATTTTATCTACACCTTTTTTTTTTCTATTGCTGTAAACTTCAATCTAAGATCATAACCTCGAGTTTGTCTCGGGGTTCTCTGTTTTCTCTGATACACTAGATCTCCTACTGAGGCCATGATTGAGTGTTAGGTGTGGCTTATCTACAATGGCCTCAATTTAGTTCTATAGAATACGCTTTTCAAATGATCACAATCTGTTAGAACAAGTTTTCAAATTATTTATTTTCCAAAGTCCATGGATATTCCTGTTAAAAAATTATTTGAAATGTTTTTTAGCCGATTGTGATAGTTTATCTAAAAGTATTAAATTGAAGTTTTAACAGAACAGGAGAGCTCACCACTTGGCCGACAGGGGTTCTTATGTCCCCCCACCCCGGCACAAGATAACAAGGGGGTAAACTTTATTTACATTTTAAATATTGAGAAATATATGAAGTAGCTTTCCCAACCCCTCCATGCACAAACAGCAAATGCATATCCCACCCAACACTACATCCTCTGCACACTTAAGGAGATAAAAAAACAAGTAGCAAGAGAGGTGAGAACAGACGACAGTTCAATTAGCTTGCCCTATGGTGGGTCCCCACTCAGATCTCAAGCTCAACTTGTGCCATTACAGAGAGAATAAATCTGAAACATATCAGACTGGTCCCACCCGTACAGGCAGTCCAGATCCAAAATGCCATCAAGTTCCCTCTGCACAAGAGATACAGCAATCCCAGACAATCGTTTCAACCTTGTAAAGTATCATCAGTGAGGTATAGCCAATATCCCTCTAGGCACCATGAGCAAAGAGTCCATGTCTGAATTGCCCTTTAAACTTGAGAGAAAAAACAAGTAACGAGAGGTGAGAACGGACAACAGCTCAATTAGCCTGCCCTTTGGTGGGTCCCCACTCAGATCTCAAGCTGGTTTTAGCTCATCTAGTGACATTACAGAGAGAGCATATCTGAAGCATATAAGACTGGTCCCACCCATACTGGTAGTCCAGATACAAAATGTTAGCAGGTTCCCTCTGCACAAGAGATACAGCAACCCCAGATGATCATTTCAACCTTATAAGGTATCATCAGTGAGGTATAGCCAATATCCATCTAGGCACCGTGAGCAAGAGGTCCACGTCTGGAATTCCCTTTAAACTTAAGGAGAGAAAAAACAAGTAGCAAGAGAGACGAGAACGGACAACAGCTCAATTAGCCTGCTCTTCGGTGGGTCCCCGCTCAGATCTCAAGCTGGTTTAAGCCATTACAGAGAGAACAATCTGAAGCATATCAAACTGGTCCCACCCGTACGGGCAGTCCAGATCCGAAATGCCAGCAAGTTCCCTCTGCACAAGAGATACAGCAATCCCAGACGATTGTTTCAACCTTGTAAGGTATCATCAGTGAAGTATAGCGAATATCCCTCTAGGCACTGTGAGCAAACTTGTTTTTCTCTCCTTAAGTTTAAAGGGCAATCCAGACATGGACCCCTTGCTAATGGTGCCTAGAGGGATATTGGCTATACCCAGGGGTCAAGTCCTGGGGAATATAGTGTGAGAACTCTCCCAAGATTCCCCCTTCCCTCCAACCCCCCCAAAAATAATATACACTCATATATATATATATATATATAGAAGGTGTATGCCTGAAGTTGTGGGAGGGATTTAAGGCCTATATAACCCAATAAACCCCTTGCTTACCTGTCTTCGCTTTCAGTTCACACAGACCTCTGACGTCATTTTTCTGCGACGCTCATAAAATTACTGTCAGGAACTCGCACGCCAAGCTTCGTGAGTATAATCACACGAACGGAATCCATTCGGCAATTCCAACCTTAACTGTAAGTCTATTCAAACAAACTTTTACACACTTTCGTTTAAACAAACTTTTCGTGCGCTGAAATCATTCGGCT